AAATGGGAGATCATCGCCGACCACCGTTCAAGCTAGCGAACAACAGTGTTGGAAGGAGTCCAAATGGCAGAAGATGCGCAAAACGTTGCAACAAAAGGGGCCATTACGGAAGGCCAAATCTAACCAGGAGGCAAGGTTCTCCTGCGAGAAATGCAGCCCAGACTGCCATTCCAGGATCGGCCTAATAAGACCTTTGGTGAATAGTACATATAGGCTAGCTATGTCATCGCCTATATTTTCTAAAGTAAGTAATAAATACATATTTATTTTGGGAGTTATTATTATTATATATATTATATAATTTGGTTACATTTCGTCACATTCTTCTCCCAGACCTCGACCTCTGGGTATGATTTGTGTGTGGGCATGGACGCCCGCAGGGAGGGGGGGGGCACTTGTCCCCCCCCCTGGATTGATTGGATACAAAAATTTTAGACAAAAATAGACAAAAAATGTATTAAAGTAAAGAGAAAATAAAGAGAAAGTAACTGAGCTGATTGTCCTGTCCGTTCGTTCACCATACAAATACGCTACAGTAAATTAAAACTACATTAAAACATTACTAAAAAAAAATTTGCCCCCCCCTCCCTAGAAAGTTAATCGATTTTTGTGCCCCCCCCCTTAGAAAGTTTTCTGCGGGCGCCCATGTGTGTGGTTGTGGCTTAATTGCACGAGGCCTCCAACAAGTTAATCCGGCGTGTGTGGAGGGTGTGATCCGCCCCAGGAGCGACGTGTGTGGAGGGTGTGATCCGCCCCAGGAGCGACGTGTGTGGAGGGTGTGATCCGCCCCAGGAGCGACATTTCTTCTTTTATATTCGGGCGACATTTTCTGCCAACTGAAGTTTTTTTTTTTCTTGTTCCACACCGGACAGTACTAACCCTAGCCACGCCACTGTCTTGTGCTACTGTTTCCCATCTGCCTACCAGCTCTTCACAGTAGACCTACTGATTCGCTAAATATACCAGCTCTCCACAGTAGACCTTCTGATTCGCTCAATATTCCAGCTCTTCACAGTAGTCCTACTGATTCCCCCAATATACCAGCCCTCCACACAGTGGCGTAACGAGGGTGTTTGGCGCCCGGGGAAAAGATTCGCGCCCGGGGACAAGATCCATTTTTAGCGCCCCTTTTTTTCTTTTTTTCAACTCTCAAACTCATTTTTTCATCAATAAAATAATATCAAAGCACATTTTGGCACCCCTAACTAGCTGACGCCCGGGGACATCTGTCCCCCCTGCCCCCACCACGCTACGCCTCTGGCTCCACAGTAGACCTACTGATTCGCTCAGTATACCAGCTCTCCACAGTAGACCTACTGATTCGCTCAATATACCAGCTCTCCACAGTAGACCTACTGATTCGCTCAATATACCAGCTCTCCACAGTAGACCTACTGATTCGCTCAATATACCAGCTCTCCACAGTAGACCTACTGATTCGCTCAATATACCAGCTNCTCCACAGTAGACCTAGAATGATTAACTCAGTATACCAGCTCTCCACAGTAGACCTAGAATGATTAACTCAGTATACCAGCTCTCCACAGTAGACCTAGAATGATTAACTCAGTATACCAGCTCTCCACAGTAGACCTAGAATGATTAACTCAGTATACCAGCTCTCCACAGTAGACCTAGAATGATTAACTCAGTATACCAGCTCTCCACAGTAGACCTAGAATGATTAACTCAGTATACCAGCTCTCCACAGTAGACCTAGAATGATTAACTCAGTATACCAGCTCTCCACAGTAGACCTAGAATGATTAACTCAGTATACCAGCTCTCCACAGTAGACCTAGAATGATTCACTCAGTATACCAGCTCTCCACAGTAGACCTACTGATTCACTCAATATACCAGCTCTCCACAGTAGACCTACTGATTCACTGTTTGCTGATGGAGGAGTCTTGCCGACACATTGGTTGTTTTTGTTGCATTCTTTTTTCAGGTTATCCCCTACCTTGTGTGACATATTTCCATTGACCTAACCTCATCAACGTCTCCCCCTTGATTATCCTTCGGTCAAAAACAATCTTGAATAGGATATAGCAGCATCCTGTGATTCTGCTAGATCTCTGCTGGCACATTAGGATTTAAGTCCTGTGAATCAGGGATTGGCATTGTTGGACTTGAGATATGAATGACATCCTGAACATTCTCAATTGTTTTAGACTTAAGTGAAGTAGCCCAACTTAACTTTTAATGTGTTTGTCTAGCCTCATGTAGGCACTCTCTCAGCACACAATTTCTTTTTATTTGAAATACCGTTATTTGACTCTTCAACACTCGATGAGCTTATGCAACCGACAGTAACACGATATCTCCATGCCTTCTGACCTCTTTCAAACTTCTCTATTTCTCACCTTGAGTTGAGCACATCCGTGTCTGCCACTCAATGCCAGGTGTTTTCATGTCTTCTTCACTCCTTTCTATCCAAGAGATCCATTCAAGTATAAATAGGTAAGCACCTGTATCCATACAAGTATGAATAGGTAAGCACCTGTATCCATAAAAGTATGAATAGGTAAGCACCTGTAGCCATACAAGTATAAATAGGTAAGCGTCTGTATCTATACAAGTATAAATAGGTAAGCACCTGTATCTATACAAGTATAAATAGGTAAGCACCTGTATCCATACAAATAGAAATAGGTAAGCACCTGTATCCATACAAATAGAAATAGGTAAGCACCTGTATCATACAAGTATCAATAGGTAAGCACCTGTATCTATACAAGTATCAATAGGTAAGCACCTCTATCCATACAAGTATAAATAGGTAAGCACCTGTATCTATACAAGTATAAATAGGTAAGCACCTGTATCCATACAAGTATAAATAGGTAAGAACCTGCATCCATACAAGTATAAAAGCACCTGTATCCATGTAAGATAAATAAACATCACAGGCAAGACTGTTTGCAGATGACACAGCAGTGTATAGGACGATCGCCAACAGATCTGACCAGGACCAGCTACAACAGGATCTCAATCTGTTAGCTGAGTGGGAGATGAGCTGGGACATGGAATTTCATCCTGCCAAGTGCCAGACACTATCAATCTCTAGAAGTTGTACTCCTCTACACTACCAATACAAACTGCACGGCCATATTCTTGAGCAAGTTTCCTCCGTAAAGTACCTAGGTGTTACCATTCAAAGAGAGGTCCGCTGGGACGAGCATATTAACAATGTATGTAACCAAGCAAACCAAGCCTTGGGGTTCTTAAGGCGAAATCTAAAGATTGGCAACTCCTGTGTGAAAGAAAGAGCATATAAAGCCTTTATCCGTCCGATTTTAGATTATGCATCTTCAGTCTGGGACCCATTTACCCAGAAGAGCATTGACAGGTTGGAGGCGGTCCAGCGACGAGCAGCACGCTTTGTCCTAAACCGCTACAGGAATACCTCTAGTGTTGGCAGCATGCTAGAAACACTAGGCTGGTCACCATTGGAGAAACGACGACGACAATCCAGGCTCTCCATGATGTACAAGATAAATAATGGGCTGGTCCACTGTTCCAGTATTAAACAGAAACTCGTCCCTCTCCCCCATAGACAGCGACGAGGCCATGACAGGCAATTCAGGCTCATACCAGCAAGAAGCCAGTATAGGAGCTGCTCATTCCTGCCCAAGACAATCAGGGACTGGAACCATCTTTCAAAAGGAACAGTTGAGGCGACAACACTAGACGCATTTGTGTCTATTGCCTCAAGCCTTCAAACCCCTAGTGCATAATTTCCTCATCACCACCAGTAACAGAAACATTGCAAATCCCATCTACATGCATAGGAGCCAAAATGATCAATAAATTGATCGTGGGCCCTTAAGATATAGAAGAAGAAGAAGAAGTATAAAAGCACCTGTATCCATACACATATAAATAGGTCATCACCAATGTTCCCTTTAAGCTGTGCGGCTGCGCAGCTATCTCGAAGCGCAGCAGTTTTTAGTATTGCGCAGCAAATTTCCATGTAAGTGTGTGTGAGTATGTGAGCTGTAAAATTTTGCACACAAAAAAATTGATGCTGTAAAACTTTGCACAAAACCGTATGATTTTGCACACTAATCAGCAAACCTTAGAGGGAACATTGGTCAGCACCTGTATCAACACTGAATGGGAGTAAATCATTATTGATCAAACTATCCTCCAGCAAAGTAGTTGACATGAGTCCTAACTGACTTCAGCTCTTTGTAGTTTTGGTGGACATCTATGTAACGTAGGAACTATACCCTTCAGCTCAAAGCACCCGTTATTTCATTTTTTAGTTAACCTCTACACATCTTTAATATTACATTATTTTAACTGCAACTAAATTATAAGTTTAAGCCTAAAACAGAAATGATTAAGAACTTTAATAATAAGGATAATGACTTATAAGCTAGCCAAGGAACTAGTATTTTGTAAATAATAGCACAGAAGGTAAATGTTTGGAGACTTTAATCAACGGTTAACACGGTTACCGGATATTTCATCAAACGGAAATTTGGTCAATCTTTTTTTCAGTTCAGACGTACGTTAAAATTTTTGTTGAATTGCTTTTTGAACGCACTATACTACATAGTAAAACAAAATAATGCGTTCAAAAATAAATTTTGAGCAGAATTTGAACGTAAAAACTGAAAAAAAGTTTAGACCAAATTTCCATTCGATCAAATTATCATCTATCAATTTAACGTCGACAAAATTTCTTTCGATCGAATTTCCGGATACGGGTTAACACAGATAATAATTTGTTTGCTGTGAGACTTAAGGACAGTTGGGTAAACATAAAACAGATCATAATTTGTTTACTCTGAGACTTAAGGACAGTTGTGTAAACATAACACATATCATAACTTGTTTACTCTGAGACCTAAGGACAGTTGGGTAAACAAAGGACAGTTGGTTAACATAACACAGATCATAACTTGTGACACTTTAGGCCATCAGGGTAAACTTGACAGTCAGGTGTAGAGGGGCAAAAAATGTATTCACAATAAATAAACAAAATTTCGGTTTAAACATTAAATACATTTATTAATTTAAAACATAACATTCTAATATGATGCGCAAACAATAAATGGTTTAAAATGTATGAAGTCATAAGAATGATAACATGACTGCTATGATCCTCCAAGACTTACTAACATACTTACACACAGTGGACACCCGTCAACAAATTTTCTTTCTTTTTTTCTTTTTAAAAAAGTTTTTCATCTTAATAAAATAGGAACATTTCTGACATTGTGCAGATCGATAAAGTATTTTTAAAAAATGGCTGCATTAGACACAAACTAAGCTACTACATTTATTTGCAGAGTGGTAAATATAATATGAATGTGATTTCAATATGAACAAAAGATCATCAAACACCCTCACATTAATCATGAAGTTACACTAATCCTTTTAGGCTCATGTCAAAAGTGCCTCACATTAATCATGAAGGTACACTAATCATTTTGTGCTCATCAAAAGTGCCTCACATTAATCATGAAGGTTTGCTAATCATTTTAGGCTCATGTCAAAAGTGCCTAACCTCAGCAAACATTCTGTTCCCCTGTAAAGGTGACACTGAATCCAACCAATACACATTTTCAAGACACTTCCGTCTCAACTCTTGAAAGTTTCTAGTGGTGCTTTCAATAGTATCAAAAGATATCCTAGTATCCAGCACCTAGCAAAGAAGCCCCTTCAACAAATTATTGAAGGTTAAAAGTTATCATAAAGATTTGAAATTATTTTTACCTAGAAAATAATTATAATAACCATCATGAGCTTGTAAGAAAACAATATTTGTACCCACCAATTCACAAAGAACACCTGATAAAGAAAAGCGCTGTTTGAAAAAGTTGAACAAAAAAAAAGCAAGGTATTGTTAAGTAAGTCATTGCAGGAATAAACACAAAAAGTCCTCCTTGTCTTGGCCATCAGTAAGTGATAACTAGAGAGGAGATGTTGAACCACTCTGCAAACAAATGAGGACGATCATCTAGTGGCACTTATCAGGCATGCTTGGCACTGGAATAGGAGACACAAAAAATCATTAGCTAGCAAGGCAGATTTTATTATTTATTTTTTAAAATTAAAATATAATCTGCTTTAAATTAAAAATGAATTTAAATTATTCTTCAGAGCAGTATGTTATGTTAGCGTTAGTATATTACAGGCAGTATTTTGGTACAGTTAGTTGGACCTGTTGTTAAAGCTTTTTGTTTTTTTATCAAATAACTTGACAGTGCTATTCCTTAGCTAAATACTTCATGATATCCAAGTGAAGAAAAAAAAGCTTCCATAATGCATTAAAAAGAGATCTTTAAATAAATAAATTTGAAATCGCTTAACTAAGAGTCCAAAGGTATATTATTTTCATACAAAAACAAATTAATCTACTTCAAGGTGGTTATTTCAAAAAACTATATGTGTAATATTTAGTTATAAGCAATAATGCATAACTTTCTTTGAAGGGAGAGAATTAAACTCTATATGTAATGAGCAATAATGCATAACTTTCTTTTAAGTGAGAGAATTAAGAAAACTCATAAAACGAGGAAGAGCTATTTAATAACAAATTTGAAATGTTTGCAACAGCTTAATAAATATATGTAAAATAACAGATTATGAGGATTAATTTTTTTTAAGGATACTTTAAAGCATAAAAATTATACAAGATGAATTATTCCTAGAATCTTTAGACCACAATAGGTTTAGTGGGGATTTCAAATAAAGAGAATCCAAATGAGCTTTTATTTAACTCAGGTTTCATGTTTACAGAAAGAAAAAACAAAAAACAAACGAATTTCAATGTTTTAAAATACAAATTAATGAACCTAAGAATCTTTTAATCATTGTCACGGGGCAATGTGTGGTAAGAGATACTGATAAAGCTTTGTAATGCTGCCGTATTGGGAGGAGATTTAGAATGCAGTAGTTGCAGTCAGAACTCTGAAACAAAATAAGATATGCTGAGGTATAGAGAGTTTCCAGCAGATCTTGACCCCTCTATGGTTGGCGCATGTAGAGCAATAAGCAAAGACTGGACCAATAGAATTAGCAACAATCGAAAACACAAATTATATGAATGATAAAAAAAGAAAACGAAACGCTCCTTTTCCCTCAGGCGATGTATTCATATATAATTCAAAATCTATAGCAAATATTTCTATTATGACTATTCTTAGATGAGAGTGGCACATGAGTCAATAAATAACACTTAACTGAAACCCATTTTTGGGATTTATCTTAAGTCATAGATAGAATGAATAAAGTAACAAGTTATCTTGAGTGGATTTGGTCATAAAATAAGCATTGAAGAAAGTAACCAAGAAAAGTAACAACCACCAAAAAATGGCATTTTCCTTGTTGACTTACGACACTCATTTCTTTTTCTTCGGTAGTTGGCTAAAGTGAATACCGAAATTTGATTTTTGGAACATTAAAAAAATAAATAAATAAAAAAAACAAGTGAATAACAAACATGGCATAAACATAAACTACTGATTACCAGAACACGTTTAAAGAACACGGAAATAACTAGGTCACTTACGCCCCATCTTTCTTTTTGTTTTGTGATTTGCTATGTTGAGCAGGATTGTGTACAAGTGGGATCAATGTTGGATTCAATAAACAGGGAGGAACCTTCATCCTAGTTATGCATGTTATGGTCAGGTTTTTTCAAACAGAATAGATATTAGAATTTTAATATTGTTTCTCTTACTTTCCATGTCAATGTTAAATTTTTTTTATGTTACTCAGAGAGATTAATTTAATAATCAGTAACGTTAAAAGGGGTCAACGTGATTCTTCTCCCATTACACTGTTTCAATAGTTGAACGCATAAGAATTAACCATGTTTCCTCCTCATCCTCATGTCCCTTAGTCCTTGGACCGTTGGGGCGCCACAGATGACATGTGAACCATCCTCCTTCATTCCTCTCTGTCTTCAGCACTACGCACTGCATCACCCAGTGTTAGTCCTGTCCACTCTTTGATGTTATCCTCCCACCTTTTTCTTTGTCTTCCTCTTCTTCTCATTCCTCTTGTGGTGCCCTGCAATATTTCTTTGGCAAGCCCTTGTTTCCTTGTTACGTGGCCGTACCATTGTAATTTGCGTTTTTTTCACAGTCACCAGTAGATCATCGTACTCCCCAATTGCCTGATGAACCCTTTCTTTCACTGTATCATGGGAGATATGGTCCCTATAGCAGATGCCAAAAATGCTTCTGAAGCATCTCCTTTATTTTCCTTTCAAGATCGACTGTTAATGTCCAGGATTCGCAGTAAAATACAGGAAAATGGAGAGGACTAATGAGCGCATCAGCCTGATTTTGGTGCCGGGGGCTATATTTTTGTCATTCCATATTTTCTTGATTTTTTTTAGTGCTGTTGTAGTCTGCGCAATCCTGGACATCAGTTCAGCTTGGAGCCTTCTTCTGAGACTATTGCTCCTAGGTATTTGAAGCGGCCGACAGTCTCTAATCTTTCCTCCCTGACCTTAATTTCAGTGGTGATGCCTGCGGTATCATTTGTCATCAGTTTTGTCTTTTCGGCACTGATTAGCATGCCGTAGGACGACGATGTCTTATCGAGACGCTTTACCAGGTTGGCTTGCTCTTCTTCGTTCCCAGCCAGCACGTCTATGTCGTCCGCAAAGCGTAGGTTGGTGATTGTTCTGCCACCAATGCTGATTGTCCCTTCATGGGCTTCCAGAGCATCTGACATAATTCTCTCTAGGAAGATGTTGAATAGGGTGGGGAAAGCAGGCAGCCTTGTCATACTCCAACCATGGTCTTGAACCATTCTCCGATGTTGTTGTTGAGGAAGACTGCACTGGTGGTCTTATCAGAGGTTGCATATCATGCTGGTTAATTTGTGTTGATGTTGTAGTGCCTCATGGTGGCCCATAAAGCAGCATGCCAAACCCTGTACAATGCTTTCTTGAAGTCAACAAAGACGTGGTATAGATTTTGTTGGTGTTGAGCATATTTCTCACATAGTTTTCGAAGGTTTAGAATCTGCTCAGTAGTGCCCCGTCCTTGTCTGAAGCCCGCCTGTTCTTCAGCAATGATTCTGTCGGCATATGGTTTTAGTCCATTCAATATGATCTTCAGCATGACCATGTTAGAGCAGTAATTTTAAATATTTTTAAAACAAAATTGTAACTAAATTATTTTTTCAAATTTCTAGACCAAACTGGCATTATGCAAGTCTGTACTTGTAAATTGTATTGACATCTGCTCACCTTTTAGATGCCAAAGCACTAAGAAGACGGTTGCCAAAGAAGAATGTAGGGACAGCAATAATGCCCAACCAGCGTAGAGTTTGGAACATATTCAGGTGAGTCCAGTAACAGTAGTAGAGGCCAAAAATAGCTGTCAAATGATATGATACATTAGCAATATAATTACTGATTTCAAAAATAGCTGTCAAATAATATGATACATTAGCAGTATAATTACTGATGCCAAAAATAGCTGTCAAATGGTAGGATCCATTAGCAATATAATTACTGATGCCAAAAATAGCTGTCAAATGGTAGGATACATTAGCAATATAATTACTGATGCCAAAAATAGCTGTCAAAATGGTAGGATACATTAGCAATATAATTACTGATGCCAAAAATAGCTGTCAAATGGTAGGATACATTAGCAATATAATTACTGATGCCAAAAATAGCTGTCACATGGTAGGATACATTAGCAATATAATTACTGATGCAAATGGATGAACATTTCACAGAATGAATTCTTTTTTAAACAACTAACCAGTCAGAAAAACCACAATATTTGAGAAAGCAAAACAAGGGGGCATAACTAACCTCCTAAGCAAACATGGAAACCCACTGCACTGAGAGAGATAGGAAAGTTGGAAACGTTGACTCCAATCCTCAGCCACTGAAATAATCCAACACAAATCTCAATTTTAAAATCATTTGGGAATTATCTTTCTAAATATTAAAAAGTATTTTCAAGCCTCTGAGATGTAACTAGCAAGTTAAGTATTTTAACTGTACTTCATTTTATAGTAAATTGTGAATTTAACCAGGCAAACATTTTTTTTTAAATTTTAAACCAATTTTTTGAACATGCAAGTGTAATTAAATCTAACCACAATCATGCTAAAGAACTCGGACCAAAAGTAATTTAAAGACTTACCAAGACAAGAAGAATAAGCAGTGGAAGCAAAACAAGGGCAGTGAATGCAAGGGAGACGGTGGCAGGAGGGCGCTTCTCAGGTTCATTGAATTTGTGCTGAAAGAAAAAAGTTGAAGTGTTATACACCGATAAACATTTATATGTAATTTACAGCCATGTTAAAATAATTTTTTAAAATTTATACAACTAAAATAAAGGACGTACGGGCTGAAGTAACATTAATGCATTCCATCACAACTTAAAAATGATAGTTTTCTATATTACAACATGATTACAATGTGAGATTTCTTGTTAAGTTTAATCCAACAAAAACGTACCTTTATCTCAGGTTTTTTAGCATACTGGTTAGTGGTATTGGCAGGAGCTTCACTAGCTTCAGGAAATGTTATGGATATATCAGCCTAAACAAATGAAAACAGTTGGTTGATATACCAGTCATTTCTGACATAAATAAATCAGTTCATAACTCATAAACCATATATAAAAATTCATGATTACAACCCTAAAAACCAAAATTCATATCACTGGAGTAGCTTATCCACATTTACTCCTTATCTATCAATATATGCATACTGGCATGTCAAAGGACATATCTGAATTTGAATTTCAAACGTGAATTTTGAACTGTCTCTTGATTAAATGAGACAAAACCAACTTTTTTTTTGTATGTACATAGCCAATTAACTCTAATGTTACTTACAATAAGCCAAGAAAAGGGGTTCTCAATAACTGCATCTCCAACAATCAACTCCATACTGTACTTGCCAGAAACTGAACCAAACTCTTTAGCACTACTACCGACATCCTGAATGGAGACACAACAGATAAAGATAGAGACATATCTTACAGAATTTATTTCTTATTTCCAAATCCTTTAATAAAGCTTTCCCAAAATATGTAACTATGAAACAAATCTTTAATTTAAGTCACCAACAATCTAACTTCATTCCTTATGTTTTCCATTATATACGTTTTTTCTCTTAAATGATTTCCAATGAAATCACACAAATATTTTTCACTTATAGAGCGGCAAGAATCAAACTACTTACAAGATCGAACTTGCTCGTAAGACTGTTGTCTGACTCTGTTACAAAGATGATCTCTTGCTTAGTTTCCAAGTTGGTTAAACGAACAAATGCTTGATGGGCGGTCATGAGGGTTCCACTTGTTTTGTCCTTGAGCTGAAACTTCATGACAATCTTCTGGTGATAGTCAGCTTCAATGACAGTGGCAGCTTTGTTGGGGTGGACAAGCCTGAGGACAAGTGCACAGAATCAACTCATGGTCGAACTTTGGTAAACACATCTTGAGAATAAGCAAACTAAATTCCAAAGCTAAAATCATCCTTGTTAAACGTTCTAATCAAAGATACCTGGTTGTTCGTGCAGCTGTAGCCTGGTCTTTATCTGCCACCCCAATCTCGACATTTTCAATGGCAACTTTAGTGGTCACCTTGACCTCAACCTAACATTTGAAAAAAAAGGTCAGACAATTTCAATTTAATTGTTCCACATACTATTACAAATTAAATGCTTTACCATTACATTCAATGTGACATGTGAATAATTGTTTGCTTCACTTCTCCTTTATAAATAGCTGATCTTAAAGTAAAAATAGAAATGGCATACTTCCGCTCCCGTAGTTCCAATGAGTTTCGCATCAGCTTTCTTTGGGACTACACTTATGGTAAGCTTGTAAAATCCCTTGGCCGGCTTGGCCTCGAGAAAATTCAGCTCAAATAAAGACCTAGAGGAAAAATAAAATAAATGTATTTGTTGATTAATAACCAAGCTTCTTTATTTTCTTCACAGAACTGTCATTTTCTAGACATTATTTATTTGTTGGTCATAGATCAACATTACAATAAAATGTCAACATTTTATACAAAGCATCTCTATCCTGTTGAACAAAGCAGAAATAACTTGTAACATGTAGAATCAAAATTATACTAACTTTTCAGAGGCAGACAGAGTGAACTGCTTTTTACTTAGAACAACAGCACCGTCTTCTAAATGCCTGGCACTGTCAGCAGTGACGGTCATCTCACCAAGGTTACCACCTAACAAATCTGTAACTTGAACCTAGGAACCCAAGTATAGTAAATGCAAATAATATCAAACAAATTCCTCCCTTTACTGCAAACTTATGCTGAATTTCCACATTATTAAAATGGATAGCATAATGATATTTTTTAAATAATGAACGATTCAGTATGAAGATAGTTGAACTAAGGCAAATAATTCGTCATCTAACAATACTGGGGTTGAAACTAAATGATAAAGAGTTTTGATAAAATCAATAGGCCAGGTTAAATATGATGTTTAGACCGACATAGTAAATAGACTGGGCAAGGAACATTTTTTTCAGGGCGGCATATTTGTAAGCCTAGTCTTCATATGTATACTTACTTTAACGGATGGATCAGCCTGGGTTACGGCCACGGGACTGGCCAGCGTCACGGCAACAGGAACATGGAACTAAAATAAGGGAAATAATATTATTAATGTCACATTAAAAGTAATAACTCATCATACACAAATATGATTTCATAACTGACATTATTTATTGGGTTATCATTTAGAGAACGGAGATACTGAGATATTATTAATTAATAATAAAAACAAAATCCAGCTAATAGTCGAGATGCCGATATGAAACCAAGCTGTCAACGCACCTTGTTAGTTGTCAACGTCTTAATGACTGAAAGGAACTGGTATGCTGATTTCAGTTGGTGAACATGCTTACGACTAAGAAAATAATTGGCAAACTTCAAAACCTTGTCCTGGAAAAATACATGAATAGTTATAAATCATTTAATCTTTTCAGATACTTCGAGTACATAAGGAAAATGTTGCAGATTTAATAAACAATGTTTGCAATTATATTCTATTTCCACGATGTTTCGAATAAGCTAAATTATGCATACAAAAAAAACAAACCTGTGCAATTGTTGGAGCCTTCTTATTTTTCTCAGCCAATTTGTAAGCACTGTCCACTACCAAAGCAGTTGCAAACAGACCTCCTTCAAACTAAGAAACAAGAAGAATGAATTAACTTGTGTTCCTGTTTCATTTTAATTCTAGCCAGATTACCAATCCAATGATTTAAGAAATTGTGTTTGGTGTCTTTTTGATATTGTCCTAGGGTATGAATTATGAATCCAATACAAAATGATACATTAACAAGTAAGTAAGTTCTTTTTAATGAAAACTATTCACTTTTTATTGAACTCTACTGCACTGTAAAACAATATTACAAATTTATAGTTCATTATCTTGAATCAATCACTGATGATGTTCAAAAATGTATACAGGCCGCTTGCAACCTCAGCCCAGGACTGGTCCCAGAGCCTAGGACTGGCCCAAAACTAAAACTATCCAACTCACTTGCTGTCAGCTGCAAGCTTTTATATGCCTTTGTTTAAAGTATCTCAACCCTCAAAGACTGATTAGCATTCAGCCAACCTTACTCATAATTCTCGTTTCATTAAAAAAAGGAACATCCGCTCACAGCAGACTCTTAGGGAATCTAACGCCTTGAATATGGCTATACCAGACATCTGATTAGGACAGTAAGATCTTTAGTAACACAGATCAACTTTATCAGTCTTGAATGTGTATGAATTAGGTCTTTTTTACTTTATCAGTGTTGATTGTTATGTGTATGAATTAGATCTGATTGTCTTTATCAGTCTTGAATATGTGTATGAATTAGATCTGATTGACTTCATTAGTCTTGATTGTTATGTGTATGAATTAGATCTGATTGACTTTAACAGTTTTGATTGTTATGTGTATGAATTAGATCTGATTGACACAACAGCCCACTTACTTGCAAATATTTGTCATCCACTTCATCAGCCTGCGCTACTACATCCTCAATATTGTCAACAAATTTACTGATATCTCCACTTAATTCAGTTGCTGCTAAAAATGCGTAGCTGTGACTGGAGTGAAAGATGAAAATCAAATAATGCAAGCCTCTAATCATGATCAAATGCAACAAAAAAAAAGTTTACAAAAAATGTTTCAAAATGAACATCATCATGAAGTCAATTTCTGTGCTACATCTACTGGAAGTCAGCATTTCACTAAGATCAATTGCCTCCAACGAAATTATCATTATATTAAACGATGAATATAAATTGAACAACTCATTGTATCTGACTAAGATAAAGATTTTGACATTTGATATGATGCACTTTTTTTTTTTTTTAAAATCAAGACTGTATATTGCAAATGCACTTTTTAAAATTAATTCAATTGTACAGTTATTGAAGAGCAATATCATTTTTTATTTATTGTCTAATTCAAAGTCATAATTTTGAGAGGTTCATGCACATCAATGGAAGTCATCTTTACAAAGTGATATTATTGTTATACAAGTACAAGTATCAAAATACCTTGATGGGGAGTCATCTGTATTAAGGGCTGCTAGTATGGCTTTTGAAACTGCACTATCATCAGCTACAAGAACAATAAAACCAGCTTGTTCAGAGATAGCTTAACTAATGAAAACTGAGATGATCATTTTTGATAGAAGAATGACTATACTTTTCTTTTAACAATTAAAAGCCAAAAGTTACAGAAATGTTTTTTTTTTTTAAAATATGCAAACAAAGTGGAAGGAATAATAAGCCTACCTGGAAGTCCAAGGCTTTTCAAAGCTAGATAAGCAAAAACAATGTCTTGGACACTGGAGTCCTCCTTGATGGCATCTGTTAAAGTTTTCTTAAACTCAGGCACTTCAACCTGAAGAGAAACATAGATACAGTTTTTTATGTTCCCATTTTGGGGAGTAAAACAAAACAGTGATGCTCATGAAAACGCCTCTCCTGTTTAGAGTTAGTGACTGCCCAGATGTAGCCTCTCCTGTTTAGAGTTAGTGACTGCCCAGATGTAGCCTCTCCTGTTTAGAGTTAGTGACTTCCCAGATGTAGCCTCTCCTGTTTAGAGTTAGTGACTTCCCAGATGTAGCCTCTCCTGTTTAGAGTTAGTGACTTCCCACATGTAGCCTCTCCTGTTTAGAGTTAGTGACTTCCCAGATGTAGCCTCTCCTGTTTAGAGTTAGTGACTTCCCAGATGTAGCCTCTCCTGTTTCGAGGTAGTGACTTCCCAGATGTAGCCTCTCCTGTTTAGAGTTAGTGACTTCCCAGATGTAGCCTCTCCTGTTTAGAGGTAGTGACTGCCCAGATGTAGCCTCTCCTGTTTAGAGTTAGTGACTTCCCACATGTAGCCTCTCCTGTTTAGAGTTAGTGACTTCCCAGATGTAGCCTCTCCTGTTTAGAGGTAGTGACTGCCCAGATGTAGCCTCTCCTGTTTAGAGTTAGTGACTGCCCAGATGTAGCCTCTTCTGTTTAGAGTTAGTGACTGCCCAGATGTAGCCTCTCCTGTTTAGAGTTAGTGACTGCCCAGATGTAGCCTCTCCTGTTTAGAGTTAGTGACTGCCCAGATGTAGCCTCTCCTGTTTAGAGTTAGTGACTTCCCAGATGTAGCCTCTCATGTTTAGAGTTAGTGACTTCCCAGATGTAGCCTCTCCTGTTTCGAGGCAGTGACTTCCCAGATGTAGCCTCTCCTGTTTAGAGTTAGTGACTGCCCAGATGTAGCCTCTCCTGTTTAGAGGTAGTGACTGCCCAGATGTAGCCTCTCCCGTTTAGAGTTAGTGACTTCCCACATGTAGCCTCTCCTGTTTAGAGTTAGTGACTGCCCAGATGTAGCCTCTCCTGTTTAGAGTTAGTGACTGCCCAGATGTAGCCTCTCCTGTTTAGAGTTAGTGACTGCCCAGATGTAGCCTCTCCTGTTTAGAGTTAGTGACTTCCCAGATGTAGCCTCTCCTGTTTAGAGTTAGTGACTTCCCACATGTAGCCTCTCCTGTTTAGAGTTAGTGACTCAAAGAACAGCTGCGGAGAGTGTGTAATTCTTCACCACTGCCGCAGCACACAAGCCCAAATGACCACTGGGTGAGAATGATGATGATGTACCTATTTCATTTATTAGTACAGGATACATATGTATGGAATATCAAATATCCAATGATATGTAGTTCTATCCCATCTGGATTCTGGATTAGATTCCGCAATAAGAAAGGCAGATAACTTACCTTGCAGTTACCTAGAGCTTTAGCAGCCGTTGCACCGTAATAAATGGATGCAACATTGCTTCCATCCAACACTTTGGAGATAACTTTACAAGCATCCTGTAAAATAATCGATACATATTATTTCCTTAGTAAAACCCTAAATGATATTTATCTGTTCAATTTTTACATTCCAAACCACTTAAAGATTTGAACATGTTTAAACAATATTAGTATAATTAGACACTTGATAACAATCTAAACAATTTATGTTTATTGGTGCAAGTGTGTTGAATTCGTGATTGCCAAAAAAATATAATTTAACATTGTTTAAAAGCAAAAGATACATCCCATTTTTTCATCATTTCCAAACCTTTTTTCGGTGGCACTGCCATTTTCATACTTCCATTCGAGGTCCCCTAATTCATTGATTCAGACCTAAAAGCTTAATTAATAAGTGTCACTTTGCCGTAGGTTTTAAAACCCAATTAAATTATTAAATATTTACCTGTGCATTAGGAATTGTTGCCCCCAGCAATTTCAAACCAAGAATAGAATAATGTGCTGCCTGAGTATCAGCGTAAGGCGATGCTGCTTCAAAAACAGATTTGAGCCTATTCTGGTCGACAGTTGTAAGGAATGAAGATGGTGTAAGAGCTTGTCCAACAACAGCAATGGCCAATAACCCAACCACTGATAAAACTGAAATATTTAAATGAAAGCTATGAGATTCTTGTTAAATAAACTTTGCCCATTCTCAATTCCTCAATCAGAGTTACAAAATCTGCTGTGGAGGTCATGTCATATCGTCACTGGGTTGATAAAGATTAAGTCGTGCATTGAGACAGAGAGTTTTCTCCTATTTATTGAAACATTATTCATAACACAGAATACATTTTAAGCTATGTTTTTAAGTTTCCAGGTTTGGATTCTACATGTGAGCATTTTCAATTATGGGAGGGGGAGAAAGGTTTCAGCATTAAAAATGTGCTAGATACTTTTCTTCTTCTCTTCTATATCTTGAGGACCAATGATCAATGCATTGATCATTCTGGCTCTTTTACTACATGCTGTAACTCAACACTGGCTGTAGTATGAAGTAGGACAAAACTGGCCATATCCCCATAATCATCTATTTGGGAGCCTTTCTTAGTAATTGCAGGATTAAGTCATTAAGTTATTCTATAACGTAAGTACATGTGTAGGCAATTGCCACAAATCAGATTTTGAGTTGGCCCATTTGATTATGACCGACAGTATTTCATATCTTTATCTGTAGTTATTTAATAAATAATACATAATCAGTAATATTCAATTTCAGTATATGAAATTAAAGGACATTAATCAGTTAATACAGGGGTCTGCAAACAACAAACAGTGACTTTGGCTAATCTGACCCAACAAATCAATAACGAAATGAAAGACACAAGAATTAATGACTGTGAATGGTAATTGGTATACTTGGAACAATGACAGGGGAGATTTTTTGTTAAAAGGCAGACACAACCATTGATCAGTACAATTTGGGATAGATAAAATCAAGCAGGGTCGCAACAGGTGTTGTTAAGTACATAAGAGTTGAAGGATAAGGTACATTGGGAAAATATAAAATGCTTTTTAAAATATTTGCTCTTCTAAACCTTTAATGCTTCATATTTTAATTCACCAACAAAGAGTGAAAAATATCTGGATTAATCTTGTGTCATGGCACCTGTGATTTTAACACATAACTTTATAACACACAACACCCCCCCCCCCTCCTATTTTTGTTCTTCACTTTTCAATACTTTGCCAGGCGTCTCAGTTGATGGAAGGTTCTGACAATATGTTTAGACAGAGTAATTCACCAACAAAGAGTGAAAAATATCTGGATTAATCTTGTGTCATGGCACCTGTGATTTTAACACATAACTTTATAACACACAACCCCCCCCCCCCCCTCCTATTTTTGTTCTTCACTTTTCAATACTTTGCCAGGCGTCTCAGTTGATGGAAGGTTCTGACAATATGTTTAGACAGAGAGCTGAGATTTTCTCATACTTTCCTTCCTTAAAACTAGTCAATTGCTTTGGAAATAAGCTTTTTTAAACAGAAATGTTCCCAAATCGGTGAATGAACTTAAACTCAGAGTAGAAGGCAAAACAAGCTGGTCTCCTACATGGACACCCATGTCAAGGCATTTGGACAAAAACTATTTGGTTTCAATTCCCAGCGGATGAGGAGTTGCTTCAGTCAATTTTTATACTGTGGAAAATTCGCCAAAGATGCAAGAGACCCATTCCCATCAGAGTTTGTGCAATGAGTAAGTACTCTCTGCCTTGAGACAGCAGTTTCAGGACCGTTTTCTGATCATCCAGCCTGTTGAGACCCGCTGGTCCTCACGTTTGTGAGACCCGCTGGCCCACACTCTCCATCGCTACGCCAAGTGATGACACAATTAGGCTGGGCCATACAAGAATAAAAATGACTCAATAACAATGGAAATTAGCCTGATCACCTTGACCGTGACCCAGCTAAAACAATGCACTCATTCTAGTCAAGCGCACATACGCTGAGTACAGACGCAGAGTACCCACGCTGAGTACCCATGCGGACGCAGGATAGAAATGCAGGACAGCGTCCCTGTAATCAAAATAAAGGGCACCCCTAATCATGTATCAGCCTCTTTCACCTGAAGTATGTCAGTAGAGCCTGGATGGCATAATTAGTTGATGAAGTGTATTTATCCAGATTGTGCTAGGTTAGTATTGTTAATTTTCATATTCATGTGGACAGGTATGTAGAACTGTAATTGTCGTTCGATTAAGAAAATGTTAGGTCTAAGGTTACTGTTAGAGTATGATTGATTATTAATAAGTATGCCTTATGCATTGTATTTGTTATTCTCATTTCTAGCCAGTAAGTAATTTGGATCAGTGAGTGACAGTTGAACTAGTAAGAACAGTGAAGTAATTAACAGTTGAGCTAGTACAGTTCAGTTAGTGGAGTCAGTTGTTAGGGTCAGAATAATGTTGACGTCCTAGTAAAAAAACTAAGTGTAGGTTAGGCCTACAACTACAAGACTGGCAGAGACTCCACCAGAAGCTATGTGTGTGGTTAGAGTCTACCCCTGTTATGTCACCATGCGAGTGAACGGAGACCTATGTCGCAGTGACAAGTGAACAAATAAAAAAAAGACTGTAGCGCATGCTGTGTGTGTGTTGGACCTGCCTACAGAGGACAGACCACCAATCGCAACTTTAATCCATGGAAAAATTAATTGTATTAGACCTAAGTATTAGATAGTTAATTAGACATTGCTATATATGTGTATATCGTTAATTCTGTTTATAATTAAATATTTATTTGTGGGCTGAACCACCTGTGTTTCTTAGTATAGTGATAGTATTAATAGAAGTGAGAGTTAGTGAGAGTGGCATTGAGCGTTAGAGTGAGATTAGAGTACTTAATTAGCAATATAATCATACCCTAGACATAGCCCTAGTGGCATTTACTAATCTAACCTAGAAGAAGGGACCTTTGTTTTTAAAACATAAACACGAAGATTTAACACAGCCTGTCAAGCAAAAACTAAATAACTTCCAAAACCTAGCTGCAAGCTGAACTTTAAATTGAAGTCACCAGCCTGCAATCCAATGAGATGATGAAAGACAGATACAAACAAGGGATATTGATAATCATCAATCTTTAGATATAGGTCCAAGGTTATATGCTCATAAATTTACTTCAGTCAATTGTTAACATATTGTATAAGAATACTGTTAAAAAAATTAAACATATGAAATCTGGTTACAGTCCAGGCTTTTCTAGTTAACACTTTTAGACCATTTTGATGACAGGGAGTAGTAACTTTGTGCCTCAAATAAATATTATTTAAAAAAACAAGTTTCATGCTTCTCACTCATCTAAAACTATTTTATTCTATAACAATGAAAAATCTCAACTAAATACAAGTCATGGAAGTGCTTATTTCTTGTTTCATGTTACATATAGACAAATAAAAATGTATGTCTTGTATGTTTTAAATATTAGTTTTTAAGAGAATAAAAAGTGATAAATTTTGGTAATATGTATAGGCCTGCTTAACTTTTGCACAATCCATTTGAGCCCTGATGCCTGACGAGATCTTCTACTGGTCCTTGTCAAAACATCTGGCTGCACATCTTGTATCTTTATTTTAGAATTTTCAATTATAAATTTCTATTTCCCTTTCTGGTGAAACTTTAAAACACCAGCATGTGATTGTTACAGTCCCTGAGTCAGTTGTCGGTAGGAGGATATTCTAAAATCTTGCATGTGTGCCATTGTTAACCAAGACAACAATTACTTAAGTAGTAGTTGATGTTTTAAGTCACTAACTTAGAGTGCAGAAAACAAAAAGGCAAACAAACAGTTACTAAAATAAATAAAAACTGGCCCATAGCCAGTCTTGGCCTAACAATAAAATAATAACAGTAATAATAAAAGCCAAGTAATTAATTAAGAAGTGAACAATGCTGAAATTATAACATAACTAGACAAAATACCTAGCGTTGCCTGGGACTTGCATTCATAAAAACTTTCTACAGCTAAAATTAAAATTAATAACCAAAAACATTTTTGCCTAGTCAAAACCTTGATTTAAAGACTAATCAAACTTTTAAAAGTGGTCCCATTGAAAAATTATTCAGCAAAGTCAACGATATGACTGTTAATCACTAAAAATAAAATAGGATCCTTGCAGGCCCATTCAATTGCGCATCTTTTTAGTTAAGCTTAAGACTGGAGGCCCCATAAAAATCATTCAGATAAATAATGGAGTTAAAATTTAACAGTTGTCCCATTAAAATTGGTTGAAAATTTTCTGAGCTCTAGTCTTTTAAATTATCGAACATTCTGGAAAATTCTAGACCGGCCCTTCATGCAGTGGATATTATTTTAAATCCATTAATATTTCAATATGAACTAGCGACGAAGGATACGGCCACCACTGTTCATCTAGACAAAAAAGCCTATATTGTTGTCTAGACCTATTCGCCTATTGAGTACTGGTATTTATATAGCATACATAAGGACAAATAAAATTGGGGCCTCTAAGCTCTAAGTCTAAGCCAGAAGGGAGTGAATATTTTGATTTTAGAAACCACCAGTATTTTAATCTGGATAATAAAGTATAAGTAAGTGTATGTGACATGTGTTTAAAGTTACTAAGTTCGGTCTAGATTGAGATACTCCCGTCCATCATCGAGGAGCTTTTGTTTGTAATTTTATTTATTACTATTATTAAAGTGCTTTTATATAGCGCAGTAACACAGCCTAGGGCTAGGCTCAATGTGCTTCACATAAAAATGAGCAATTACAGAAAATTATGCATTTAAAAACAACAGTTGGTCTTGGTAAAAAGTTTGACCTCACCCACCCAAGTACTATCTACCCCTGTCTAGCCATGGACAGCACCCAGCAGCATTGAGTGTTGTTTATCTGTTAGAGGGGGGTGAGAATGTGTCGTTATAGTACAGTTAGAAAAATTGGGTCAGTAATGGGATGAGAATTCCATTGTTTTGAGGCACGGAAAGAGAAAGATCATTCACCATGTTTTAGTGCGTGTTCTGGGAACAGAAAGAATATGCGTGTCTGCGGAGGAATGAAGCTTTACAAGGGGTGAATATACACAGAAAGAATTTCAGTAAGATAGGTAGGGCAGGAACTAGAGAAACGATTGTGAGAGAGAAAAAATTGTGAGAGAGAACAGACAGCTTGTAATCAATGCGAGCCTGTATAGGCATAGGCATATGGAGCCAATGAAGTGAGTATAGTAGTGGAGTGACGTGATCATATTGCTCATAGTCATGTAAGTAAAAACGAAATTTAGGCTCCCCGCCCCCTTTGAATGGGATCCCCCCACCGTAATTTTTTAAAGAAGGATTTGTCAAGTCGCCCAAGTTTGATAGATCCATTACTTCATTACTCATTCCATAAATAATGGTAGAATTAGAATAATTAGAAACTTAGAAACTTATGCCAGTTAGCAGAATCTCAGAACAAACACATTTTCCCTTATATATACTTATATCATAAATATATAAATGATTCTAAAGGTAAATGATAGCAAAATGTAGTATTTGCAAAATACAGTTGAATTCATGGTCATTCAATAAAGTTTTGTATTATGTTCCTTGAAATGAATTTACGGTCAGGTATAGCGCCTGTACCGGCAAGGCCGCCCACCGTGGCAGGATATGGTTGGCACCGGTTGAAGGCGATTGCTAGATTTTGTGTATATATATAGTACTAAATTTATTTGCAAAAAGCACATAGTGAAACAAATTAATGATTGTGAGATGTTTTATATAATAATTAACAAAAAAATATTAATTAAATTGGTAAAGATTCAAAATATTCGCAGCAAACCTACCTTTCGCCATGTTTATTGACGTTAGAATAGAACGTAGTCGATTATCGTACTGGGGTCTTTGATTAAAATTAGTTAATATTGAAAACCATTCATAATATATTATTTCAATTTTTTACAGAAATTATTTTATTTAATCTCAATTTAATTTTAAAATGAATTTACAATTTTATATGATTTATTACTTTAAGATTAAAATTAAATTCAATGAAAAACAAAAGTGAATGATTATATTTTGAATTTAAAAATACGGTTACGATTTTATGTCGCCGATCTTTGTGTGACACGTTTATACTCATCTCTTGTAGCTAGAGTTTATTATTTTTAATTTCCAAAAAGAAAATTCGCATTCAACATTGTGCTTTTGTTCATTCTATAATTTTTTTTAAAGTACTCTTTATTTGTCTAAAATTTTTGTGCCACATGAAATTGTCATTTTTTGTTCTCATTCTTACATTGAAAAAGACATTGTCTTTACAAGAGAAAAAAAAAAGGTTTTCTGTGTCGGTCAGGGTCGGAAACACAGGGGCGTACCAAGGGTATCTCATGGTAGGCCTATATACCGTACCTCATTCAATATGAATACATTCACACAGTGTAACTGAAGTAATATTATAAATAAAAAAGAAAATCAAAGGATAATTTTTTAGACAATAATTAATACATTTTACCAGTTTAAATTTCAGATAAATGTAACATAATGACAATAAAAGGTAAGGAAATATATTTTAGTATCCAAAAGCTACACGAGAAAACTTAATCTCGGTTAGATGTATCATCAATAGCTTCGCAAGGTGTGCGTGGACCGCACGGGTTTGGGGGGGGGGGGGGGTCATTAATAGCGTCACAAGGTGTGTGTAGACATTGCTACAAGTGACCCTACTGAAAAAACAGCATTGAACATCTCTGGAAACAGACCGGGGTCCAGTAAATGACCAGTAGTAGTGGTCTTTCTGTGCCAATGTTCTTCCACCAACAGGACTCCATCTCCAGATTTTAATTCAGCGTTTGTCCTCTACTAGATGCGCTGCAGTCCAAAGGTAACGAGTCCAATCCACCCGGGGGCCCGGTGGTGAGTTCTGTGTGCTTGTGTTCGCTTTTGCTGGGGACAAAATTCATATTTTTTATTACCAGCAAGCTGAAAATCTTAATATTTCTTGTTACGGTTAGATTACGCCTTTTCACAGGTTACGCCTTTTCACAGGTTGCAAATTTAAACCGATTCGTTTTTATTGTTCCATATAAAATACAAATAATAATTGTGTTTTATTGTCTCTACTTAGTTGTCAGACTAAGATGACTATTTTAGGACTCTACACATCTGACTTCCCAAGATGCACCTTTTAAAATTATTAACAGTTAATACCAACCTTTAAATTTGTAAGAGGAGGGGGTGAAAAAATTGTCATAAAGTTCATTGTCAGTCTACCATTACTGGAGTCAAAAGTGGACAATTGAAGATGTGTTCAACCATTAGTGGAGTCAAAAGTGGACATTTGAATATGTGTGCTACCATTACTGGAGTCAAAAGTAGACAATTGGAACCAACTGGACAATGTCACCGTGGACTCGATATCAATCGAGAGTTTCAAGGCTGCCCTGGCACCCGCTAGGAGCCGTTAGGATGGCCGCACCGTTTCCCAAACGGTTGCACCTATGCCAGGACTTGGTGGCAGCAACGTAGTCTATCAGAATCAGAACTACTGTGTCAAAAGTAGACATTTGAACATGTGTTCTACAATTACTGGAGTCAAAAGTAGACAAGCGAAGATGTGTTCTAGAATTATGCTCACTGAATGTGTATTGGTACACACTCGATTAAACGTACATATTCTTGTCATTGATCGTTAGATATTGAGACAATGAACATATGAAGAGATGTGAACTTAAACGTGGATTAAAATGACTTACTTCATCCACCTGTCCTTTAAACATGATTGTGAGTTTCTTCAAATAAGGGAAATAAAAAGATAAATATTTAAGAAGTTTGAAGTTGTCACTCCTAACTCACTTGAAAACACCTTCAGGCATCAGGGGCCGTCCATAAGTACTTCACGCTGCAGGGGGGGGGGAGGGGGGTCAGGACATGTGTGACGTTACACATTTATTTTTTTACATTTTATTTGTAATTTATTTTAAAAAATTTAGTAGACTTTAAAAGCTTTAAAAATAATTTTCAAAAAATTTTGTGAAATATTTGAATTATTTTTATGTCAAAATAGAATGAAATGCGTATCTCCTGAATGTGTTGTTCACTATCCTCTCGCTAGAAGCGCTATTATGCTGCGAAGCCTTGTTTCATGTATAGCCTTGCTTTCGTCATGCCGGAAGTATTATTATTTCTATGTTGTCCGCTGCATAATTATGTCACTGTCCTTTTTATTATTTAATCACTGGGTGAGGTCAAGTTTCGCTAATTTACTTCTCATCCTGTGTAATAAGATTGCATAATCGGAGGATTATCTAAAACTTGACCTCATCTATTGTAAATGAAAAAGCAGCAGATAAATGATGTGTATTATATAATCGTCTAGTCTAATTATTGCAATTTTTGTTTTCAAATTCAATCTAGATCGAATTGCAGCTTCAATGAATAACTGTGGCAACTGTTGACAATTAAATATTCTACTATTAAAGTCATTTTAATAATGTGATAGTTCTTTTAAGTAAAATTTTATATTTTAATTCAGCTTAATAGTGAAGTGTGTTTTATATAAAATTTTAATTAGGTGTTAATTTTTTTTTTAAATTGTTCGAAAGTATGACGTACTTAAGGGGGGGGGGGGGGGGTTCCGAGATTTGTGAAAAGGGGGGGGGGGGGGAAAAATGGACCAAAATAGCGTGACATACTTTATGGACGGCCCCTCAGGTACCGGTGCCACCCACACACAAATATTTTTTATTTAAAAGGCCACTTCTTAAAAAATTAATAAATCCAGATGTTCCCAGGACTTTAGGACTTTACTATATAGTAAAACAAAATAATGCGTTCACAAAGAAATTTGAAGCAAAATTTTATCGTAAAAACTGAAGAAAAAAAGGTTCGACCAAATTTCCGTTCGATCAAATTACCGTCGATTAATTTACCGTCGACGAAATTTCGTTCGATCAAATTTCCGTATACGCTTTTCTTTAGCTGTATGCCTCAGATTTCAAAGTGTTGACGTTGATCTCTAGATGTGCGCTGGTTTTTTTATTTAACGTAAAGCCCCAAACCCCACTGCACCTAGAGCTTGAAATGTAGCACAGATGTAGTACCGTAACACAGGCTCAGGGCCAGCTCAAGGTAGCGGCATCTCGGGCAGTTCTTGGGGCGCCATGTGCTTAGGGCGCCAGCAGCCGTGGGCTCGGTCCTGCACAGCATGTCTCTGTTTTGTCCGAGCCCAAGTTGGCCCACTGCCCATCATGGGGACCGCCATTTCATTTTTCCGTATACATTTCCTACCGTGTAATTATAAACTACCGTATATAACAGTGGTTCTCAACCTTCCTAATGCCGCGACCCTTTAATACAGTTCCTCGTGTTGTGGTCACCCGCAACCATAAAATTATGTTTGTTGCTACTTTATAAATATGTGTTTTCCCATGGTCTTAGGCGACCATTATGTAAGGGGTCGTTCGAACCCTAAAGGGGTCGCGACGCAAAGATTGAGAACCGCTGGTATAAACAAGACCTACAGTACATAAAGACCCACCTATATAAATACGGCTATATCACTCTGATGTCAGCAATTATACTATTTCAAAAGTCGAAACGGCTGAATCTTGATCAGTTTTAACGATTTTAACTGGACACCTTTTCGTGGATATTTGGTTTCATCATCCAACGGTTCTAACGTTAACTACTGACTGGGATAATTTTAAACAGTTAACCATTTCGGGATCAGCGGCCCAATTTTTTGAATTCAAATGGCTTTTTATCTTATCTTTTTTAAACTGATTTTAAAGGGAAAACCTTGAAAGGTTAAATTGTATATTTATTCAGGAATGTAATAATAATAATAATAATAATAATCATAATAAAGTTCATTTCAAAAACACGCTTCATCCCCAAAGGCTCGAAGCGCGGTACAAAGTCAACAAAAAACAAATCTATAATTTAACACATTTAAAACAAACGCAACACTACAGAAACTAATTACAAGCATACAATCTCAAAGTCTTTCTAGCCATTTCAACCCGGAGCAACACAGCCATTGTGCATTAACTGGAAAATAAGGTAGACAATCATCCCAGAAGGTGTTTGCGAAATAGATGTGTCTTTAGATCCATTAAATGGCAAAAATGGATTGGACCCTACCGCCAATCCCCCACCCTTTTTAAAAAACAATCTAAATAAAAATATCTATAGATATCTCATGTTGGTTTAGATGTTTTCTTAAATGGAACAGCGAGCACTCTTTCTTACAAGGTTCTAGAAGGTTTCACAGATAAGTGGGTTCCTTATTATGCTAAAAACCCGTCAAAATAATTTGAGCCTGACATTGGGTTAGGCTGAAATAGTAGTCGATAGACCAGTTTAAAGACCACACGACCATTAAATCAGTAGGCCTACTAGCTGGGGCCACGCTGTCACCATTATATGAGTAGGCCTACTAGCTGGGGCCACGCTGTCACCATTATATGAGTAGGCCTACTGGCTGGGGCCACGCTGTCACCATTATATGAGTAGGCCTACTAGCTGGGGCCACGCTGTCACCATTATATGAGTAGGCCTACTAGCTGGGGCCACCGACAGTGGTAATATACTCATCCGGATGATCGACGGGCCACGCTGTCACCATTATATGAGTAGGCCTACTAGCTGGGGCCACGCTGTCACCATTATATGAGTAGGCCTACTAGCTGGGGCCACGCTGCGCTTGTAAACTACGGGAAGAGGTGCACAATCTCTTGGATTCATTTATCTTCTGGTGTGTCCTGCTTCCTTTTCACAACCGACCCTCCCCCTTCTCAACATGTTTAATATTAAGAGTAGGGGGCGAGGGGGGGGGCAGCGAGCGTCATGCATGACGGTTGAACTCAGGTCAAAAGGTCAACTTTTATTTCGTTCTATTATATTGATCAATAAAGAGCCACGGGTCTGGTGTAGGGCTGTATGCTCGACCGTCTTTAGGCCTGTCGTTTAATGGTCGGCAGGTATAATAATAATAATAATAAAGTTCATTTCAAAAACACGCTTCATCCCCAAAGGCTCGAAGCGCGGTACAAAGTCAACAAAAAACAAATCTATAGTTTACCACATTTAAAACAAACGCAACACGACAAAAACTAAGTACAAGCATACAATGGCAAAGTCTTTCTAGCCATTTCAACCATAAGCAACACAGCCATTATGCATTAACTGGAAAATAATGTTGACAATCATCCCAGAAGGTGTTTGCGAAATAGATGTGTCTTTAAATCGGTTTTAAAGGACTCCAGTGTCTGGTTGTTTCTGAGATCGACAGGAAGGGCATTCCAAATTAGTGGACCAGCAAATGCGAAAGTGCGCTTTCCGTAAGTCTCAAGGCAAACA